GGGAACTTAATAAACAGCGTTCGGTGCATTCTCTCAGCAGGGCGCTCTGGTCCTGCCCTCGGCGCACGTGAGCACCGCACCTGTCAGTGGCCACACACTGGCCGCAGCTTCCCAAAGCCAGCAGGCCTGGGAGGCGGCCCCTGAGTTGCAGTGGCGCTCCCCACTGTGTCCCTCTCTGCACCCAGCCCTCCTCCTGCCCAGGAAGGGGCCAGGGGCAGACCCCGACCGGGGACCCTCCCCAGCTCGGAGATGCCCGTCCTGCCACTGTGCCTGTGACCGCATCCCGCCCCCCCGCACCCCCCCCCCGGCACATGGGCAGCCAGCCAACGCAGGCCACCCCCGTTCCTACCTGTCCTCTTCTCTGGCCAAGGCAGAGAGTGCTCCAGCAGGGACTTGAGGACCTCAGGCATGTCCATGGCAGGGGCCACTCCAATCCGGTCGCAGCTCGACATGGCCCGGCAGGAGGTGCTTGCTCGGGGAGTTCAGAAGCTGCTCGAGATGCAGGAGCTGGCCCGGGAGCCGCAGGCTCTGGAGGCGGGCGGGGCGGGAGCCCGAGGCAGCCAATGGGCAGTAGGGGCCCCGGCCCACCCGTCCACCCCCGGCTCGGCCACCCGCCAGCTCGGGCTGCAGCCAGGCCTTCCCTTCCCGCTGCCTGGCAGGGCGGGCCTGGCCCTGCGCCAGCCGCGGCACGTGGAGCCACCGCGCCAATCCTCTCACGGAGAGCCCGGCCTGTTACCTAACTTTGCAAAGGGAAGTTCTCCCCCAGGCCGGGAGCCATAACCAGGGCCTGCCAGGTGAGAACAGTGAGAATGCTCCACGCCCACAGCAAGTGTGCCCTGCACACTCAGGCACACTTGGCTGAGGGGGCCTGGTGGCCCAGTGCAGCAGAGGGCGGGCCGTGGAAATCAGTGTGGGCCGGGACCTAAGACCTGGCGCCCCAGGCAGCTCAGCCCAAAGGACATCCTCTGTGTCCGCACACACTAGCCCAGGAGGGGGCCTCATGCGTTCACCTGCAGCTCGCGAGCCTGGAGGGGTGGTTGGCCTGTCTCGACTCCGATACCTATATGCGAGGCACGCGTGTCCTGCAGGCAGGTTTGCATGTGGGGTGGGTAAGTGGGGATTTGCACCATCTGCAGAGTCTGAAGCCTGCTCTCCTGAAAGAAGTGAGAAAACCTGCAGCCTGGGATTCCTCTGGCTTTCTGGGGAGGGGAAGAGAGGCAGGGGCCCAGCAGACCAGCCCCGGGTGGGCAGGCAGAGCAGGCACCCCTGAAAGGGAGCAGCTCTGCAAACCTGGCTTAGACTCGTCTTGCGTGATGACCTGCTTCCCAGCCCGTCCTGCAGACCTCAGTGGCAATTGGCTGTTTGCTCTCTGGCTCTCTCTCCAGGACATTGGCCTCTGTGGTCCCCAGGCCACCTGAATGTGTGGTCAAAGCCAAGGTTCTGTATGTCCCCCTCCACCAAAGACCGACATCAGACTTGGCTGGCGGGGTGGGGGTGGGGGGATGGTGTCAGGCTCTTGATTCTGCCACACTGATGTGGGATCTTGAACAAGCCACACGGCTCTTCTGGATCTCAGTTCCCAAACTCCTCAGTGTTGTGACCTCTAAAGTTCCCTTCAGCTCTGGTTCCATGTCTCTGACGCTCCAAATTGGATGCAGTAAGCATTTGGTTCCCTGCATGTAGATGATTTCTAGGCAGTTCTTCACTGCTTTCCAAAACTCTATTTTGCACAGAAGCAAAAATTCTCCAGGAACCTCTCTGGCCTGTCCCCTCCCCAACAGCCCTCTGCCTGTCCTCTAATTACCCTCCCTTCTTCCCTAAGAGCCCTCCCCAAACTATGCTCTTTCCCCCAATTAATTACAAATTAATTTCAAGTTTGAATACAAAAAACATTATATGGTGCAAAGCTCAACACTTTTGATTTCTTTCTTTTTTTTTTTTTAAAAGATTTTATTTATTTGAGGGAGAGAGAGCAAGAGAGCATAAGAGAGGGTAGGGTCAGAGGGAGTAGAGCAAGAGAGCATAAGAGGGGGTAGGGTCAGAGGGAGTAGAGCAAGAGAGCATAAGAGGGGGTAGGGTCCAAGGGAGTAGACTCCCCGCTGAGCAGGGAGCCCAATGCGGGACTCGATCCAGGAACTCCGGGATCATGACCCGAGCCGAAGGCAGTCGCCTAACCAACTGAGCCACCCAGGGGCCCAGCACTTTTGATTTCTCTTCCTGTCCTTGCTCCTCATCCTCTTCCTCAGAAACAAATTTAGTTTCTTATTTATCCTAGTGCCCTTTGCTTCTGAGAGGCGGTGAGGGTGAGGTGGGCCTTGTGCTGGCTGCCTCAAGCTGAGCTGGGATTTGCAGGCTGGGGCTGACTGACCCACTCCTTGGCCCAAGAACCCCCTCATGTGCTAGACCGGCTTACCACAAAGGTGGAGTGGGTAGGTGCCCACAGAGCACGACTCCAGAGACAACTGGAAATGCCCTACATGTCTCAAAAACACCCACCTGCCGAATGACATTTCATCCTCGGAGATCCATTCCGGTGAACTCTCTGCAGAACCTTTTCTTTCTTTTGTTTTTTTTTAATTTTATTTATTTATCTGAGAGAACGAAGGAGCGAGAGAGAGAGAGCACGAGTGGGGGGAGGAGGAGAGGGAGAGGGAGAAGCAGACTCTCCATTGAGCAGGGAGCCGATGCGGGGCTCGATCCCAGGACCCCGGGATCATGACCTGAGCCGAAGGCAGACGCTTAACGACTGAGCCACCCAGGCGCCCCTCTGCGTACATTGGTACATTGAACCCTTTCAATGTACAAATGTACTAAGCATCTAAGACCGTGAATGAGCGCTTACTGCTTACCCGTCACCAGCCTAGACCTTGTGAGGGATTCAAAGTTAAGTAACAAACCCGGCCAGGCAGGTCCCTACCCTTAGGGGATTTTCATGCCACTGCAAGTCAGTCCACGTGGCACCCTCCCCATCCCCCGCACCCGGGGTGTCCAGTTGGCAGCGTCACCTATGGTCACACAGGGGCCACATCAGCGGGTTGCTGGGTCAAGCGGCTGGAGAGGGGAGAGATGGGGAGGGGAGGCTGCAGAGAAACCTGGAGACCTTTGGAAAGGGCCTCAAGGCGGCGCTGTTGGGACTGCCTGCACTTCTTGGGTTTCCAGGCTCAGAGGTCTGACGCCTGCTGTAGATGGCTCCCCCATAGGGGGTATATGTGGACGCAGTTTCTGGCAGAGCCCTCAAGGGCTTTCTCTAGAGAGGTGCAGAGCTTCCCCCCACCCACCTGCAGGTCCCCTTAGCAGCAGCTTCCCCAGAGGCAGGGAGGAGGAGCCTGCTGGGGCTCCATGGTGGCGGTGGGGCTCAACTGCGGCCCTTACCCACAGGAGCGAAGACCAGAAATGGACATGTGCTCAGGAACCGGAGGCTGCTCAAACCAGTCCCGGCCCCTCGATGGATGAAGTGTCAGCCACGGATGGTAAATACCTAGCTTACATGGGGGCTTGGCGACGCACATGCGAAATACAACAGAGAGAAAAAGAAAGATGCAGGACAGTAAGGGCACATCGATGACAGGGATACAGCAATCTCTTTAAGTCTATTCCAGTTCCGCCTCCTCCAGGAAGCCCTCCCTGGATCTGGCACCTGGAGTACCTCCCACCTCCCACCACCTTCCTACACTCTCCCACACTCTCCCACGTAGGTCTGTATCCCCTGGCGGACTGTGGGGTCAAGGGAAGCCACGTTTCTTCAGTAACAATGTTCCCAGGACCTGAGATGGAGTGGGTGCTCAGTGACTGTTTAGCAACTTGAGCTGAAGGAGGACCAGAAGAGAATTTGAGAATTTTGCCCACCAGGTCCATTGAGGTCCTGCTTATCTTACTTGCTTTGATTTTTCTGAGTTTAAGGAGGTCCAGATGCAGGTTCCTGATCTCTCCAGCCTGAGGACGGGTCTGCATTTTTCCTTCGGGAGTGGTACCTTGCCATGCCGCTTTGGTTTCTCACGGTGTTGCCAGGGGTGCCAAGAACCCCAGAACATTAGTGCTGAAGGGACCTTTGCCAATCACTCAGTTCCTGGTGGTTCTTGTTTTACTGTGTCCTTTCTGAGGGTCCTTGGAACCTCTGCTGAACGTCTATAAGATGTGGACATCAAACGTGTGGGGTGGTTGTAGAGAACAGACACGCCGTATCCGGTGCCTGGTACACAGAAGGTGCTCAGTCAAGTTGGCCGTTTCTCTTACTCATCTGGTCATTTATCAAGCACCTGAGCCCCTCTGCGTATCTGGCCCAAATGACTCTGTCCTTGGAGAATTCACAGGCCTTGGACCCCTGTTCCTGAAAGCAGTCTGGTGGGAGCTGGTTCTTGAACACGGATAGCCCCACCCATCAGGATTCCCCATCACCTGCAACATGCACGATGCAAGAGATTTGGAAAAGCACCTCTAAGCCCAGCAGATACGGGCTTCCCCGATCGAGAATCCCCAATCTAATACGCTCTCTCCTTTAAAAGATGAGGAATCTGGGCCCAGAGGGGTCCAGGGGTGCAGTCAGAATCCTATACCGAAGCATGGCATGACCCCTTACTTTTCTGGAAAAGCCACACCCAGAAAGGGCATAGAGCCAGGCCTCTGGAACTCAAGACGGTGCCCTTGATCGAAGCAGGGAGGGGTGGGTACCTCTGGATGGCCCCACGCGGAGCGCTGGGAGCAGGCAGGTGGCAGCAGGGTGAAGGGTGCTGCTGGGCCCACTTGTACACAGTACAGCTTGTCCCCGCCAGCCGAGGTGCTGCCCGAGCTGGGGTCAGCTGGGTTGCCCTGTTTACACAGGGACACAGACCTTCCACCCCTCACCCCTCGGAATGTTCACCTTTAGGCCTGCCCAGCGCCAGGCAGCTCTGCCCCACGGGTAAGGAGCAGCCCCGGCCCCCAGGCACCGGGCAGGGAGGAACCGGAGCGACACCTTGGGGAAAGAGGTCAAAGTGCACACGTTTATTTTCTAGAACAAAGGCTAAAAGAATCAAGTTTCTTTCATTTTATTTTAAGAAGGACAAAAATTGTTATTAAAACATCTACATTATTATCAAGATACTAGACCTTATGAATATTTAATATTAAAGTGTGGTATTCTTAAATTTTTAATACACAGACATTTTAAAAGGACCATTAAATTGATTACTGCCCAGCTGAGAAATGCAGCATCCCTCTTTCCCCTACCCCAAAGGGACACTCACATCGGGGGCGCCTGCCCCCGCCATGTTCGAAGTCTAGTCTCTGCCTGCTGGCAGGGGGCACAGGCCCCGATTCAACTCTCCAAGCCTCCCAGTCGGGGTCACGACTGAAATAATCACTCTCATCATTCAAAGTGGACTCCTGTCCCCCCACCCCCTGCCTCTTGCTCTCTGCCCAACTCTGTGGGGGATCCAGCTCTGGCCAGGCCAGGGAGCCCCAGATCTCAATGGCCCCTGGATGGATAACAGGCTGAAGAAGAAAAATCTGGACTCTGATCCTATTCTTCTGGGTGGGAGACAAACACCAATCATTTCCTTTCCTGGAGCACCACTGCTCCCAGTGAGGCCGGAGTGCTCTGGGAACTGGGCCCAGGCAGGGCCGCTCCCGCCCCTACTGCCAAACCCCCTCCAACCCACAGCTCCAAGTCCCTGCATCTGAAAAATCCCTCTTAATTACACCAGGATGGCTGCATTTTCTGGCCAAATTCTTTATCTTTAGCCCTCATTAGAAGTGATTCCTTGGATACCACACACATATATAATATTATATAGAGCGATATATTTAATACCTGTGTATATATGCATCACGGGGGCGACATATATACACACTAAAAACGAGGCTGGTGACGACGGACTGCAACACCACGGATCAGGGAAAACAAGTGTCATCCACATTCACAGCCACGGCCCCCACCCTGGGTGTGGTCTCTCCTCCCCTCCAGTCATGCCGCTGGCACCACGCTGCCAGCCTGCTGGGGGAGGGGCAGGGGGAGGAAAGGGTGCATGCCACGATTACTGGGGAAGGCTGGGCAGTGACGGCAGGAGGAACAGGGTTCTCTGCGCCCGGGGTGCCCAGAATCACATCATCGCTCACTATCGATCCTTGCTTGAGGAGAAATGAGGGGGATTCCATAAGAGGGGGTAGTCTCACCCCCACCCCTGACTCCAGCTGTGGTCCCAGGTTCCTTCCGGGGGGGCCCCACTCCTTGTGCCAACTGCGTGGGACATTCTGGAATGTCTCGGGAACCAGGGGACGCTGGGTGTGCCCACAGGGGGTGGGATGGAGAGGAGGGGGTGCACGCAGACAGGTCATACGAGAGGGATGGGGCAGGGCTTAGTGGCTGGGGGCAGGTGCTGGGGGTCGGCTGAGGTTCCAGGCAGCTGGTAGGGCCGGGAATCAGAGAGGGCTAGGACAGACAGGGGCAACTGTACGTCTAGGTCTGCGGAGAAGGGGAAGAGGGCCATGCTGGGTCCCCAAGAAAGAGGGGCTGTGTCCGATCCTAGAGTGGCCCCTGGTGCCCAGGGTCATCTCCCTTCCCTCTGTATTCCGACCCCCACCCTTCCCCTTCCTTCCAGTTCATCCTGCAGAAGCTGAGCCCACGGGTGCCCTGCCCATTACCACCACCCCTACTGGGCGTGGGAAGTAACATGCTGCTACACTCCCTACAACCATCCTCAGGAGGGGACAGTCCCTCTACATGGTGCTGACATGAGCCTGAGCCTCCCTTCCTCAGCCCACAGGGGGCACCGCCTGGGACCCCGATGCCACACTGATTCAGAGACTGTCCTATTCCTGCCAAGAGCCCGGAGGCTCCAGCAGACAACTGGCCCTTAGCCTTTTGACTAGTTTGCCTCCTGGCTCTACCTTGTGCCTTGGGCTGGAGACCCTGGCAGATCACCCGTCCCTTCCAGGCCTCAGTCTCCCTGTCTGCAATAAGGGCGTTTGGGCTGAGTCATCTCCAAGGACTCTGAGCACCTACAGTCTACATTCGGTGGCCCACAAGGAAGAGGGCTAGGCTGGGGGCCTGACTGGAGAGGCTCCAGAGATCATCTAGCCCAGCCCCTCCCACTCTTCCAACCGGAGGGGAAACTGAGGCCCCAGAGGGCAAGCGACCAGGAGTGTGTTCCCAGCTCCATCCTGGGGCTGTGTTTTAAAGCTAATTGGGGCCTCCAGCCCTCTGTTATGTCCTGATCTGCCCCCTGGGGGAGGTGGGTGTGGGGTGAGGGTGGGGCAGGGAGAAGGACCCTCCCGCTGCAGATTCAAGTGGGGACCCCAGGCTCCCCAGCCCTGAGCTTTGGGCCCCCTTTAGGACCAGACAGAAGTTAAAGCTGTAGGCTGAAGCTGGAGGGGTCGGCCAGGCCCCTCCGTCCCCAGCCAGGAGAGCCGGGGGTGGGGTGGGGTGGGGGATAGCTGCCCGGGGTTCCAGCAGGATGAGGACCCTGGGACCACTCAGGGCTGCAGCACGTGCACCTGGGTACGCACACAGGTGGTGGGCGCAGAGAGGATGGATGGGGCCCCAGGGGGCCGGGGGCTGCCTGAGGAAGGCGGCCCCCCACCCCCAGCCCTGGCCTGCCCTGGCCCTCCTATCAGGCCCTCTGTCCCCACCCCCGCCCCGACCCTAGGACTTCACCCGAGGCCCAGAGCTGGCCCTACTCCCCGGTGACAGCGGCGGCCACAGGGGCTTCCGGGGCGGCACCGGTGGTGTTCCCATCCTCTTGCAGCAGGAAGTTGTATTTGCCAAAGTCGTCGTCCCGCGGGCACAGAAGCATATCCTTGCGGGCCTTGGCCAGCTTCTGCTTCAGCACCTCGCGCCGGTCCAGCCACTCGGTGAGCTCCTCCTGCCCGTGAGCGCAGCGGCACTTGTCCCCATCTGGGCAGGCCTTGCCCTTCTGGAGCCTGTGGGCAGCAGGAGGCTCACTGCCCAAGCCCCACGCCCTTTCCACCACGGGCTGCGGACCTTGGGCCGGCTGCTTAACCTCCCCCAAGACAAGCCTCTCCCTGGGCAGCGTCGGTCCTGGTGAAAGGGGGCCCGTCCCAGCCTCCTCCAGGACCTGCCCCAGGGCTGCCGGCGGGGGTCCGCGGTTCTGAGCCCGCCCGCCCCCAGGCTCCTGGCATCCAGGAGCAGCTGCTTTAGGACACCGCCCCCCTCCACATGTTATCTCCGGGCCAAGGGGAGCCAGGGCTGGCCACAGGCTCATCTCAGGCCCACCCTGCTGCCCGCCGAGCCCGCCGAGCCCGCCCCGGGAGCACCTGTCGCAGAGCCGGAACTCGCCCATGGGGAAGCGGTAGGCCCAGCCGCTGGCGTCGCTGTCGGACGTGAAGACCTTCTCCTTGTGCTTCTCGGACTGGATGTGCTGCTGCCACTGCTTCTTGCTGTTGCTGTTTTTACCGCAGAGCCAGCAGTGGTAGCCCATCTGGGGGCACAGCGCCATGGGTGCCCAGTCCTCGCACCCCGGCCCCGACGTGCCCCAGCGAGGCCGGGCCCTCCGCACGCCCTCCCAGATCAGCCTCCCACCCGGGCCCCAGCGCGAGCGAGGCCGTTACCATGATGTCGGCGTAGTCCGTGGGCATCTGGATCTGCTTCTCCCCTTCCCGAGAACTGATTGGGGTCCCTTCCCCTGGCTTCCCCGGGTTGTGTTTCTTCAGCCACATGTCATAGGTCTGCTGCATGTCCAGGACTGGTGGGAAGGAGAGGACAGGGTGCTCGGTGGGGGGGATCCTCCCTCCATTCTGCCCCCTGGCCCCCGCCCCCGGACATGGGAGCTGGGGCCACCCCAGGCCTTGCTGTCGGGCTGCCAGGTCAGCGATGGAAGACGCTGAGAGGGTCCCGTCTGGGGTGGCAAAGGGAGAGCGAGCAGGTGCTCTTGGGCCTGCTGATGGTGGGGGCGGGGGGTGTCTGGCAGGGCGGGGGTGCTGGGCCCACTCCTGCACTCACTCTTGTTCTCCTTCATGAACGTCCACATGTCCCTCTCCTCCGGGCTGTGTGCGAAGGAGCAGTTCCCCACGTACTGGCACTTTCGGCCGTTCTGCGCATGGATGCAGAGCTACAGGGTGGGTGTGGGGAGAGCCAGCTGAGTCCCGCTGGAGACTGTCACGGCCCCAGCCGGCAGGCAAGCCCTCCTAGGGCCCCTCAGCCCTCACACCTGAGCTCCCACCGCCACCCTGCACCCCACTCCCGGCGCTCACATCGTATTGCTGTGGGAAGTTGCGAATGGAAGGCAGGGGCCTCACAGACACCCATTTCCTCTTGGCCTTTGACATCACCAGAAGGACCCGCCGCTCCTTGGTCCAGCTGTGGGACAGAGGGGGATTTGCTGGGGAGAGGCCTGGGGAAGAGGCCTGGCCTCCTTACTCGTGTGGCTCGGGTGGGCCCCCCCACCCCCCAGCGGGGCGCCTGGCTCACCAGTGCCGGGCCTTGGCGCTGCAGTACTTGAGGTCTTTGTCAGGTTCTACCACCTGCCCGTTCCTCCAGCACTGGCCACACACAAATTTCATCTGCAGGTCGAAGGTGCTGGGCCCATGTGTCCGAGGGGCGCCCTGCTGGGGAAAGGGGCTGGTGAATCCAAAGGCATCAGGGCTGAGGCCTGGGGTCTGTCACGCAGGTGGCCCCTCCAGGAGTGTGAGGGCCCACCCAGAGCCTCAGAACGAGCCAGCCCGTTACCACTTGCCAGAGGGAAGTAACCTCCCCACGCTAGGCCCCCCAGCCTCTCAGTGTGGGAGCCAGGCCTGGGAGGGGGCCCTGATTCCCCACCGACTACTCTCTGCCTTGTCTGGCGAGTCCCCAAGGGTCTGCTCTTTGGAACCACTGCCGTTTCCCTGAGCATGGCATGCTTTTGCACATGCTGTCCCTCTGCCTGGAACGCCTTTCCTCTGTACTTCGTCAGGCTGATTCTGGAAACTTTCAAGACTCAGCTGAAGCACCACCTCCTTTAGGAAGCGTTCCCTGGAGCTCTCCTAAGTGGTAGCTGCCCATCCTAGGAGCTCCCATAGTACCTGGACTCCGTCATGTTGATCAGCTCAGCTCGTTATGAGGCCTGGGCCGGGTGGACAGCAGGGCCCAGGTGGGAAGCCACTTGCACAGGAGGCTGCTCTGGGGGGTGGCACAGACTTCTGGGCAGCCCTGGACCCCCTAAGGCCCCACCAGGTTCATCCCCCATCCTCTGCTCTAGCCTTTCCTTTGCAGGCAGGAGGGCTTGCTCTCCTCACCCCTGGGACCCCTGGGATGGGGTGGGGGGTGAAAGGTGGGAAAAATGCCCACGCAACCTTGTCTTCTGCCACTTTCACGCCCCTCACCCAGCTCTGTTGGCTCACCTACTGACTCTCCTGTTACCTAGAGCCTCCCTGTCCTCCCTGGAGCCTCAGACGTGGGGTCACCCCTCCAGGCAGCTCTCTCTCCTCCAGGCTGGAGGAGGGTACATGTCCCCTACCAAGGGAGCACCCTGTGTGCCTGGCACTACCTAGCCCAGGGCCTGTCCTTGAGCAGGAAGGGGTTCTGTCCACGTGTGTTCACTGACCCCTGGCCTGGTGCTGGACGACTCGCAGCCTGGCTCAGCCCCAGGATGACCTCCACGTCACCTCAGGGACAAGGTAAAAGCAGACCTTTGTAACTGGGGCATGGCCTGTGCTAAGAGCGGGCAGGAGGTTCTCCACATCACTCCCGATTTCCAGGTGTTCCACCAGATTCTCACAGAAGCCCGAGGGGACCCATTTCACAGGTGAGGTAAGTGGAGACAGCTCTAATGAAGAGCCATGCCGGTTCACTGAACTTCCCTTTTCACAACTGTACAGCCTCACCAAGTCCCTGCTGCAGCCCTGGGGGGTGGGGGTCGGGGTGGGGGGCTCATTCCCACTAGACCGATAGAAGCAGAGGCTCAGAGAGGTTCCTAATCCAGCCCCGGCTAAGTGGCCTGAGGACAGGAGTCTGGAGAGAGGCATGCTCGTTTGTGGGATGGCACAGCTGCGGAGCCATGGGCACTGAGCCCGAGCAGCTTCTACCCTGGCACCTCACCGTCGGCCTCCCAGTGCTGCCGACCCGCCCTCTGATGGCAAGCAAGCAAGACGCCTCATGCCCTGGTCGCAGCCAGGCCTGGCACAGAAGCCCTGTTCCCGAGCCAGGCCCAAGGGTGGCATCTTGGGTGGGCCGCGGGGGGCCCCTGGCAGCAAGAGGAGGTGGAAGGCTGTCGTGGCACCTGGGGACCCTGGGAGCAGCCCTGAGGAGGAAGAAGGGGTAGGAGGTGGTGAGGACTCAGAGTTCTCTTAGAGGGTAACACTGCAGGTCCAACCCAAGCCCCTCACTGCGTTCCAGCTGGGATCCTGGCCAGGAACAAGAAACAAACCACATGGCAGAGAGGGGGAAGAGAGAAGAGGATAGCACAGGAAGGGACAGAGGAGGGGGACAACCAGGAAGCGGGGAGAGAAAGAAAAAGGAGCAGAAAGACGGGCTAGGGACAGGGAGGGGGAAGTCCCAAGGGGACCAGGCAGCCCTGTGGGACAGCCTGCCCTGCTCCCTGGCTCACTCCCATCCCCACACTGGCCTCAGGAGGGGCCAGGGGCCCAGTCTTCTCCCAAAGCGACCAGTGGGTGGTCCTGGCCTGGGGAGGGTGTCATCCCTCATGTGTGGATGGCACAGAGGTCTTACCTCACACTATCTCTTAGGCCTGAGACCACCCCTTCTGTCCCCACTGTCACCCTGGGCTATAATGGTCCCTACCTCTCAGGGAGGAGGATATGAGGATTGGCGAAGGCACGGGGCCCAGTGCAGAGCGGAGACTCGGCAAGCTGCAGCCTGGTCAGCTTCTGTGACCCTCACGCCCTCCCTGGGAGATGGCAGGCAGGATTATGATCCCCATTTTATGGGTGAGCAATCCTCAGCGGTGGCAGGAATGGGGCCGGGTGGTGGGGGAGCAGAGCGAGCTCTGGACAAGATGTCAGAGAACCAGGCATTTACTCCACTAAGTGTGCCCCTGGCTTAGTCTCAAGCATGTCTGAGACTCAGTTTCCCCATCTGCAAATGCCACAGTGCCACAGCTCACTTCTTCAGGAGCAGGGTGAGGATTGGGACGGATGGGAGACGATACGACCAGTGGGAAGGAATACCAGAATATTCACACGGTCTCAAGGACCCTCCCCGGAAGATACTTCTTCATTACAAAGGGGAAAAGCATAACTTCACGGTAGAGAAACCTTTACAGTGGGGGCGCCTCTAACCACGTGATCACCAGTAAAGGGACACATTGAGATGACGTGCATCCTGATGAGTGAACGGAGAACACAATAGCACCTCTGCGATTTGAGGAACCATCAGACAATCCCAAATGGATGGGCCTTTCACAAGACAGCTGCTTTTCAAAACCATCAATGTCATGCAAGACAAGAAAGACTGGGGGATTGCTCTAGATTAAGAGAGACTAGATAGGGGCGCCTGGGTGGCTTAGTCCGTTAAGCATCTGCCTTCAGCTCAGGTCATGATCTCAGGGTCCTGGGATTGAGTCCCGAGTCGGGTTCCCTGCTCAGTGGGGAACCTGCTTCTCCTTCTCCCTCTGCCCCCTCCCCACCTGTGCTCTCTCTGTCCCTTTCTCTTTCTCAAATAAATAAAATCTTTTTTTTTTTTTTTTAAAGTTTTTTTTTTTTTGAGAGAGAGAGAGCACATGAGAGGGGGGAGGGTCAGAGGGAGAAGCAGACTCCCCGCCAAGCAGGGAGCCCGATGCGGGACTCGATCCAGGGAC